AAAAAAAAAAAAAAAAGAATAATTTTCTGCTGAAACGCAAAAAAAAAACAGAGTAAACTGGAAAAGAAAGCAGAAGAAAACTAGCAACACAAAAAATGTTCATAATGAAAGTTAAAGCTAGGTAGCTAGGTAGAGGACAAGAGATGTCAATCAGCTGATTCAAATTTTTAGTAACTGTCCACTACTAATTAGTAAGTGAAAGTGGAAAGGGGTTAAGAAGGAATATAGCAAAGAGGGACATAGCAATAGGTATATATTTTGATGTGAGTCACTGAGTCAGTTCCAATCCATAGCGACCCTGTTTATGGCATCCAAGGAGCAGCTGGTGGGTGTGAACTGCTGACCTTGTGGCCCATAGTCCAGTGCTGATCCTACAGCGCCACACCAAGCAAGAGTCCACAGGTACGTATATGTTGTTGTTAAGTGCTGTCGAGTCGGTTCTGACCCACAGCCACCCTGTATAGGGTTTTTGAGGAGTGGCTGGTGAGCTTGAACCACTGACCTAGTGGTTCAAACTGGCTTTGCAGTCTAGCTCATTAACCCACAGCCATCACACCAGGACCCAGGTATATATATAAGCTATACTAAAGTTGATATGAGTCAAAACAGACTCAATGGCACATACAACAAACAACAAAGAACTTTTAATGATGAAAGAAGAGAGATGGGATAGTAGCTAAATACTCTTTATTAAATTAATCTGCTATAAGAAAAAGAGTTTGAGAATGAACACTGATGAGACTATTAGAGAAAAAAGAAAAAGTGGTGAAGTCCAATGCTTAGCTAAGAGGGAAAGGGGAAAACACATATGGAAAGGGTGGGCTGCTTTAACCTGATGAAGGTGATGGACTGGAGATATTTGTGCTATTGTTGTTAAGTGCCAGTCAATCAGTTCCAACCCATAGCAACCCTGTATAGAGCGTCCAAGGAGTAGCTAGTGGGTTTGAACTGACAACCTTGTATAGTAATCCAGTGCTTATCCAGCGTCACACCAGGACTCCATTTATGTTATACTACAATAAAAATGGACTTGTAGTGTGAGGCTGTAGGGTCAACACTGTACTGCAAACCAGAAGGTTAGCGGTTCAAATCTACCAGCCGCTCATTGGAAACCCTATACAGGGTTGCTATGAGTCAGAATCGACTTGATAGCACTTTACAACAACAAGAAGGATAAAGATGGAGTCTTGGTGTGGTGCTGTAGGGTACGCACTGGACCACAAAGTCAGTATGAACCACAATGTCGCAGTTCAAACTCCCCAGTTGTTCCTTGGAAACTCTATGTCAGGTCGTGATAAGTCAGAACTAACTTGATGGCACTGAACAGCAGAAAAACGATAAAAACGAAGTAATGTTAGAGCTTTAATCTGTATTCTAAGTGGGTTGTTGTTAAAAGCAGGAAAGGAAAAAGTGATGTGAAGGTGGAGTTTCAGGTGAGTATTGAAAGTGGAAACCAGCAGTATATAGATGACTGGTCAAAATCACAACTGTATCGAGAACCCAGCCCTCCTAGTTTTCTAGTGCAATGATGGGTTCTCTCCAAATGGAAAGGAGGCAAAAACAACAACAAGTAGACTCACCAGTGGTAGTAACGGAACCGGGGTCTCCAGTTGGGTGTTCGAAGTAATGTTTGCAAGGCACATGCTAGGTTCACGAAGAGGTAACACATGAGAAAAAACCTGGAAGAATAAAGAATCAGAGGGATTACTGTAAAATGATTCTTCTAGGGCTATTTTAAATAATTAGATACTGCAGTGCAGTGAATTTCCTTAGTCTTTGTAACTCCCACCCAAGGATTCTTTTCTTGATGGGTCAGGATAAGAGTAGGTAGAAGATACTGATAGGATGTCATGACTCAGCTGTGCAAGTTAAAAGAGTTACTTGAAACTGCAAAAACTTGAAACTCCAGGATGGCTATAAAATGAGACATCTCAGACTTGGAAGTGGACAGGGGTGGTTGGGAAGGGCTTCACTACCATCAAAGCAAAGCCAGGTGCAGAGTCATCCTTTGGACCCTGAGATCCCTACACATTTCTTGGCCCGAGGACAGAAAGGTGTGGTGGCAGAGGAGCAGCAGCAGCAGCAGAACCAAGACACAGAGTGGTGGGCTTCTTAGCCCACCGAGCTAGTAAAACTGAGTGACTCTGGGCAGACTTACTTTCAGAGTAGGGTGCCTCTAGGCAATTAACAGGGACTTAGGTTTGCTGACCCACAAAGCCAGAGCTAAGCACCTTCAGACTGAGGTTTATGGTGGAGTGGTGTGTCCTGTGGGCATGTATCAGCAGCCCTAAAAGAGCTTTGTAACATTGGCCCAGGCAGAGAGAGGTCTGCCTGTGGGCACAGCTGATGGGAAGAACTGTCCTGAACATTTCTGATTCTGAATTGTAACGAAGTAACTTCCTGAATATATCCACAGTCTTGAAAACACTACAGAGCACTCTACTGTGCACACATTGGGTTGCCATGAGTTGAAAATGGCTCAACAGCAACCAACTACCATCACCACTCCTGGCTAAATCTAGGAAGCAGAGAAACTTAAAACTATCCCCACAAACGTGTGCATCTTCCCATGATCTCTTAGTGAATGATACTACCAAGTGTTTACTCAGTTGTTTCTGGGGTAATAATCCTAGCTTTCTCTTTTTTACTTGCCCTTCTGCAAAATGCACTTACCAACTCCTATAGATTCTAGTTACTTAAAATCTGTAAATCCTTTTCCTTTCTCTCTCTATTACTATCCTACCCAAGTTCAAGCTCTCATTTCTTCTTTCCTGGATCAGTAGTCAAATACACTTCCAGTTGGCATCCCCAGTTCAATGTTAGTCTCTCTCTAATCCATCTTTTATGTTGATCTTTTAATTTGATCATTCGAAAACATAAATATGATTGTTTTGCTCTCTACCATAGAGACTATCCACTATTTCTGGGTAAAAGTTTCAGGTCCTTTGTGATCTGGCTTTACCTATTTCTTTAATCTGTTACTTTCAACATGTACCTTCTACTTTAGCCAAGTCCAACAACTCAACTCCTCAATATGTATTCTTTATCTGGAATATCCTTCATACTATTTTTGCTCAGCAAATAAGCCATCATCCTTGAAGATACATGTGTTACTTCCTCCATAAAACCTTTCTTGATTGCAAATCTCTTTAGTTGTCTAACTTTTGTTTTTGTATAGTATCCAGTGTTCACCTGCATCACAGAACTCACCACACTACATTGGGATCACTGGTTTCCTTATCTACAATCAATTTCTTACTGAATGTCTTGTACTCGTCTCTGCATTCCCAGCTTACTACACAGTGTCAGGTAAGTACTAAGTCATCAGTAAATCACAACTGAATGAATAAAAGCTAAAATCATAAATCATACATCCAAGTGAAAGCTACATCCAAGAGAGAATAAATCAGAAATGAAGGAAAAACTTTATTAAGTTATGTGGGCAGGAAGAAAGCATAGTATTTTATTAAAGGTAGACTTAAAGATGAAACTTCTCAGGACATTTATTAATTAAGGGAAATAACCTCTATATCTGACCCACTTTTGTTATCACTACTGTCATATGCCTGATTGAAAACCACACATAGGTATTAAATATCATTTAAGCAAGAATAACAGAAAAAAACCATTGGCTCTTACATGGAAAGTATTGGGGCCACCAGATCCAGGGAGGCAATGAGGATTCCCAGCTCTGCAATGGCAGCAGTTAGAAGCAAAGCCCAGGTAGGTTCTCCATTGGCTTTGCTGTGACCAAAAACCTGTACACAGAGGAGAAATATTAAACATGGACACGTGGGAAGTATCTGAGTCAACTTTCCCCAATTTCTCATTCCACAGTGTCAGATATTTAACTGAGAAGATATGTGTGATGTCTTTTAAACACCTTTCTGCCACTTTTACATAAACTCATACTAGAGATGTACAGAACCTCGTAGTAAAGGCCCATCTTCCCATATTATGTCACCTATCACTTCCTAACCCATCCATTTCACATAAAGCTTAGGGGAAAGAGACAGGGTATAGGAAAGAGTCACTTACCCTAAGAAATGGTATGATGTTATCCTTGGCAATCGCCTGTAGCAGCCTTGGTGCCCCCGTGAGACTCTGAAGTCCAGCCCCACACGTTGAAAAGAAGGAGCCAATAACTATCACCCACGGGGAGGGCCAAGATAAGGTGCCCACCACCAAATTACCTTTCACAGCATCCCCAAACCTAAGAGAAAAGTGAGAATGGGGCAATTTAATCAAGAAATAACTTTGGACTTATAGACTAGCGCTATTTTCACCTAATTTCAGCCATTTACAATATTTACAGAATCAAATTTAGGATAGACACAAATATTACAAAATGTAACGGTAAATAGATTTTATCAAAAATTTGTTAACTATATTTATGTTAAGAAATTATTAATCTATTTGGCCAGGTTTTTTTCAAAAGATAAGGTAACACTAAATTAGAGCTTTTATCCTCAGACTATCAAGATACTTTCTCATTGTGAAGAAACTGGGAAAGTTCAGAAAAATATAAAAAGAGCAAAGGGTGGAGGAAATCCATAATGTTAACACAGTTACTAACATTTGGCATATTTCCCTTTGTGGTTAAGTGCCATTGTGACTCTTTACAGAGCTTTCAAGGAGCAGCTGGTGGATTTCAACAGCTGATCTTGAGGTTCACAATCCAGTACTTATCCTACAGCACCACACCTGGAGTCCCACAGTTCCCTTTAGTTTACTACATATTTTTAAACAGTTGGGGTAATGCTGAACCTATAGCTTGAAAACATTTACCCGTTATTTTTTTTAAATCAATTTTAGTGGTTTGAGTAATATTACATCATGATTTATATCATCCATTATTCTAATCTCAGTTTTATATTATAAAAAACACTGGATTTAACACTGTCATGCAAGCATATATGTTCACACTCCATATATTTTCCTTTATGAGAGATTTCTAAAGAGGAAGTAATTGTGAAACAGGAATAACTATAGTAAAACATCTCAAAATCACTAAGAAACAGTTTCCCAGAAAGTTAATACTGATTATTGCTACTGCTGTATGTATTCCAAGGTTGAAGTCTTATGGCACACCCCCATATCAGCCTTGAGTATTACAAAAAAAATTTTTTTTTCAATCATTGCTAATTTTATGGGTGAAAACTGGCATCTCATTGTTTATTTAATCACTTTGGCTGTAATAATAATGTTTCATTAAGTAATATGCACATAAAGTAATATCTAAAAAATAAACATACAGCTTAAGAAATGTTCACAAAACAAGTAACAATGTAACTTACCCATCAGGCCAAGAAAGAGAACATTTTGAGTATCCATTTTGAGTTCTCTCTTATGTCCACTATGCCTCAGTTTTCCCCTACTAGTCTAAGTTCTGGTAGCATAGTAGTTATGAGTTGGGCTCCTAGCCCCAAGGTCAGCAATTTGAAACTACCAGCTGCTCTGCTGGAGTAAGATTAGGTTTTCTGCTTCTGTAAAGATTTACAGCCTCTGATGAAATGAAATGCGGATAGGTCTCTTGTGATACAATAGTGAATAATTGTATCAGGACTGATTGTGAGGGTTGGAAATGTAAAGGTAGACATTCTGTAGCAAGGAGGGGAGTGATTAACTTTGAAGTCTAGGAGTGGAGATCCCTGGGACCATCAAGGGAGAAGAATGGAGAGTGGGGCCCTACCCAGAGAAGCAGTGATGCCTGAGATGGAGGCAGAGACGATGATGTGGAGTGATGGAGCAGCTGGAGACTTTAGATTCAGAGAGGGAGAGGGGCTGTGTGCTGACGACCGAGGGGCAGGCTTGTAGTGTATACCCTTTGGTTGGGTGATGATGCATGGAGGGGACTATAACCATGGCAATGAAATGATACACGATAGGATGAATGTAAAACTAATGTTCTTCCATGTAAACTATCACATAATTCACAATAAAATATTAAAAAAAAATATTTACAGCCTTGGAAACCCTTTACAGGGTCGCTACAAGTTGGAACTGACTCCACGGCACACTACCACCACCACCACATTTCCACAGTCTAGTATCATATACTTTTACCTGTCTTAAAACCTTATGTAAATAAAACACTCTATATAATTTGTGTCTGGTTTCTTTCACTTAGCATGTTTGTGAAATAAATCAGTGTGTGTGTGTGTGTGTGTGCATGGCTGTGATTCATTAATTTTCATGAATGTATGGTTTTCTACTACATGACTGTATATGTACATACAGACATACACACACAAATTTACAGTTTTCTACTGATGGACATTTGAATTATTTCCAGGTTTTAGCTATAAGAAGAGTACTGCTGCTTTGTTGAAATGTGTATACTTTGTTGTGCATATTTTCTAATACACATTTAAAAATCAACCATACACACACACACACACAAACACATACAAGAAGAATAGTATTTCTATGAGCATTTTTGTACATGATTCTTGACACACATACATTTCACTTAGCTTTACCCTGAAGTGAAATGTATGCTCAACTTTAGGAAATAATGTTAATAGAATTCCAAAGTAGTAGTACATTTTACACTCTCAATAATCATTTTTATATTATGGTACCCTCTACCAAAGCTCCGTAAGCCTCCACACTTTCAATTATAATAGTAACGTATCAATATACTGTGCTCCATATTTATATAAAATTTATTAGGGTTCCTGTTCTCAAATAGCTCAATCTGGAAGGGGCGACTGACAATAAAACAAGCAGCTGTAATACAGTATGTTGTTGTCATTAAGTGCCATCGAGTCAGTTCTGACTCACAGCGATCTTGTACAGAGCGTTTCCTATGAGCAGCTGGTGGGTTTGAATTGCCAACCTTGCAGTTAGCAGTCCAGTGCTTATCCTTCAGTGCCACACCAGGATCCCATGACATATGTAAGTGCAATTAAACTGCATGTTAAGAATATAATGGTGAAACAAAAGGAAGAGTGGTTATCTCTGTTTGCTAAGGTCTGAGTACTGGTGTGGCGCTGTAGGATAAAGCACTAGACCGCAAGTTCAGTCTAAACCGCAGGGTCAGTGGTTCAAGCTCACCAGGTGATCCTTGGAAATCCTATACAGGGTCACCATGGGTCAGTATCTATTCAACAGCACTTAACAACAACAACAACAGGAAAGAAGCTACTTGGGATAAAAAGTAGACACTCAGAATAGTCTTTCTATCAGTCATGCAGAAAGAATACAAATTGGCCAGGTGGAAGTAAGCTATTGTAACCCAAGGAAAGAGTATAGTCAAATGTGTGGATAGAGATGTGAAACAAGGCACATTTAATTCTATGCTACAGCTGAAGCATAGGAGGTTCAGGAGAGTCCTCTCAGGAGATAAGATTGGAAACAGGTAGAAGGTAGACTCCTGGTGTGGTACTGTAGGATCAGCACTGGATTGGCACAAGGTTGGCAGTTCAAACCTACCAGCTGCTCCTTGGAAACCCTATACAGTATTGTATAAGTTGGAACCAACTCAACAGCACGTAACTACAACAACACAAGGAGACTAAGTCTAATGATGGACTGAGGAGATTGGCAGGTTGGGAAGCAAATAAGTTTGGCTTGTATTAGAACATTTTTGGAGGGTGGGGGAAACATACACATATCATATGATACAATTTTGTAAAACCAACGACTTCTTCATTGCATATACCTTTTTTAAAAAAACATAAAAGATGACTATACACATGGACCTCACCAGATAAAATACACAGAAATCAAACTGACTACATCTGTGGAACGAGATGATGGAAAAGCTCCATCTCATCAGCCAAAATGAGGTCAAGGGCAGACTGGGGAACAGATCATCAATTGCTCATATGCAAGTTCATGCTGAAGCTGAAGAAAATTAAAACAAGTCCATGAGAGTCAAAATATGACTTTGAACACATCCCACCTTAATTTAGTGATCTGAAGAACAAATTTGATTCATTTAGACACTAAATATCAAAGACCAGAAGAGTTGTAAGGGACATCAATAACACCATATAGAAAGACAGCAAAAGGTCACTAAGAAGAAAGAACAAAAAGAACCAACTGGATGTTCGAAGAGACCCTGAAACTTGCTTTCCAGTGTAGATGTGCTAAAGCCAAAGGAAGAAATGAGGAGGTAAAAGAGCTGAGCAGAAAATGTCAAAGAGCAGCTCAAGTAGACAAAGTGCAAAGACCTGGAGTTAGAAAACCAAAACGGAAGAACACACAGCATTTCTCAAGCTGACAGAACTGAAGAAAAGAAATCATGTCTTGACTTGAAATAGTGAAGGATTCTATGGGCAAAATAATTGAATGTTGCAGATAGCATCAAACGAAGATGGAAGGAATACACAGAGTCACATAACAAAAATATATTGTTGATGTTCAACCATTTCAAGAGGTAGCACATGACCAAGAGACAATGGTGCTGAAGAAAGAAGTCCAAGGTGCACTGAAGGCACTGGCAAAGACCAAAGCTCTGGGAACTGATGCAATACAAATTGACATCTTTCAATAAACTAAAGCAGCACTAGATGCACTTGCTCATGTATGCCAAGAAATTTGGAAGACAGCTACCTGGCCAAATGACTGGGAAGATATCCATATATGTGCCCAATCCAAAGAATGGTGACCCAACAGAATGCAGAAATCATCAGCCAAAATCATTAATGTCACACAGAAGTAAAGTTTTTCTGAAGATCATTAAAAAATGGCTGCAACAGTACATTGACAGGGAACTGTAGGAGGTTCACGCTGGATTTAGATGAGGATGTGATATGAGGGATTATCAATGCTGATGTAAGAGGGATCTTGTCTGAAAGCAGATATTCCAGGAATGTGTTTAACTGTGCTTTATTGACTATTCAAACTATGGATTATGACAAACTATGAATAACACTACAAAGAATGGGTTTTCCAGATTACTTAATTGTGCTCATGAGGAACCCTGTGTGGACCAAAAGGCAGTAATTTAACAGAACAAGGAGACAGTGAATAGTTTAAAATCAGGAAAGATATGCGCTAGGTTTGTAATCTTTTACCATACTTATTGAGTCTGTATTGTTGTCGTTAAGTGCCATCAACTTGGTTCCAACTCACAGCGACCCTGTATAGGGTTTCTGAGGAGTGGCTGGTGAGCTTGAACTGACAACCTTACAGTTCAAATCGACCTTGAAGTCTAGTGCACTAACCCACAGCACCATCAGTCTGTATGCTGAGAAAATAATCCAAGAAGCTTAATTATATGACAAAGAATGTGGCATCAGGAGTAAAGGAAGATTCATTAACAACCTGTGATATGCAGAAAAGGACTTAAAATACTTATTGATGAAGATCAAAGACCATAAACTTCTATATGTAAATGTAAAGAAAATAAAATGCCTCACAACTGGGCCAATAATAAATAAATAAAGACTGAATTTGTTAAAGACTTCATTTTGCTTGGATCACTATCAACACTCATGGAAGCAGCAGTCAAAAAATCAAACAGCGTAGTGCATTAGGCAAATCTGCTGTACAAGACCTCTTCAAAGTGTTCAAGAAGATGTCAGTTTGAGAACTAAGGTGCACCTGACCCAAACCATGGTATTTTTAATAACCCCATACACATGTGAAAGTTGGGCAATGAATCAAGAAGACCGTAGAAGATGTGATGCATCTCAATTATGGTGCTGGAGAATAGTAAAGTACCATGGACTTCCAGAAGAACAAACAAACCTGTGTTGGAAGAAGTACAGCCAGGATGCTCCTTAAAAGCCAGGATAACGAGACTTTATCTTTCATACTTCAGACATTATGATGGACCAGTAAGTGAAAAAGAGGAAGACCCCCAATGAGATGGATTGGCATGGTGATGGCCCAGGACTAGGCAGTGTTTTATTCTGTTGTGCATAAAGTTGCTATGAGCCATAATAGGTGACTTGATGGCACCTAACAACAACATACACTTGTCTATTTCATACACGTGGGATCTCACAGTTTGCCCTTTAAAAATTTTTTTGGATTTATTTAACTCAGCACAATGTTTTCAAGGTTCCTCCATGATGTAGCCGATAACAGGACTTCATTTCTCTTTATGCTTGAGTATATATAATCAAATTTTGTGTCTCAGAAAAATCCTTCTGTGGCAGCATGAAGAAAGATTAGAAAGGGTAACTAGCAATAATCTAGGCAAAAGATCCTGAGTGCCTGTACTTATTGACCAGGACAAGGAAGAGGGTATACAATTAACTCTATTAAAGTAAAAGTGGAATTTACATTACTTAGTAATGACTGGATGAGAGAGATTTATTCATTATAAGAAATGGGGTGATTGGTGAGGCTATCAACCAAGACAGGGAAAAATGGGAGAAGTAGCAGGTTTTAGGGAAGTGCTTTAGAGAAAGAAATCTCTTGCAAAAACACATTTATATTCACAGGTAAGAAAGAAGACAACCATCTAGTTATCCAGCAGCCTTCATGAAGGAAATGAAGAAAGTGAGTTGCAGACTTAAGATACCCAAACAGAATTAGATAGATAATTATATCACATAGAGGCGATATCACAGATGCTTGAAGGTTGGTTGGTTTTGCTTTAATTTGTCTTCCTGTTAAGAGTACTCCTTGAGTCAATTCCAACTCATACACACTCTGTAGAGGATTTCTAAGGAGCAACTGGTGGGTTTGAACAGCTGACCTTGCAGTTGGCAATCCAGTTCTTATCCTATAGTGCCATAAGGATTTGTTGTTGTTATGTACCATGGAGACTTTCAAAATGGCATATCCATAGTTTTTCAATAGCTCTTAAAGTAGAGAAAAGTTCTGAATATTCAGATAAATTCACTGCTTTATTAAAGACCTACATTCCTTGCATCTCACATATTTATAACAGCATACTAGCCCTTATTGTCCACTAAATTAAAAAATATACATTGGTCTATTTATTTATCAACTTTTAAAATACATATTTATCTACCAATATCTATTTATCGATCAATCTTTAGAAAAAAACAATTATGATAGGTGTCTCAGGTTGGGTTTTTTAGTTTTTAACTAGCTGACATCATGGAAGACAAACACATGATTATTACAAAGAAATCAACTACTCACTTGTCTCTAAGAACAACTCCTTCAATACACGCACCAAAAAGGACAACATTGCTTAAATCTACCATATCAAGTGTCAAGGAAACTGACATTAATCTTCTAAGATGACACTGTTGTTGTTGTTAGATGCTATCGAGTTGGTTCCCATCCATAATGACCCCGTACAGGGTTTTTGAGGAGTGGCTGGTGGGTTTGTACTGGCCTTGTTAGCAGTCCAGTGCTTAGCCTACATTTACACCACACCAGGACTAGAAAGTAGAAATTCAGGCTATTTCTTCCACGAGTAAAATGAATTGCTAAATTTATTAATCTAATAAATTAGTTTTTGAATTTTCTATTTTGGGATGCGGTGGGTTGATTATTTGGAGAGAGGTGAGTTGACAGAAAGCTATCCTAATCACTAGGATAAAAATACTGATTACCCTACTTCTATTGGATGTTTCTACAACTAAAATTCAGACTGCATTTGTAAAAAGGATACAGACAAATGAGGTGGTCAGGATGGCGAGAATAGTGCCAATAGGAATAGACTTCTGAGCATCTTTTAGATCTCCAGATCGGTTTGACCCGGCCATGATACCTTTAGAGAGAAGGGGGGAAACATAGTAAACTCCTTGAGTTCATGGACACTTGGACATATATACTGATACCACAGACTAAAAGTAAATCTAGGAACCCTAAGAATATAATATAATCTGTCTCCAGAGAAAAGTCACCGTCAGCTCCTAAGATATGCAATAGTTCATCTGCTCACCTGTGACAGAGGGAAAGAAGATCCCCACTAGCAGAGTGAAGGAGGTGGTGATATCAACAAGCACGTATTCGTGACTTAAGCTGCCTAGGACATCGGAAGATTTGGCTGAGGGTTTTTCAATAATCTCTCCCTTTGGTAGATAATTACTCCAAAGATTCTCTGTAGTGGAAAAAAAAAAGAGGGGGGAGGGTGAGTAGAAAGAAGAAAAGTAAATCATTTTCTACCAAAAACAAAATTCTAAGTTGGAGCCCTCTTTAATACAATTTTTAAAACGTTTTCTTCTATATGAGTACATATGCATACAAACATAACACACAATAAAGCACAAATAAAAACCTAATGCTCTTTTTCATCTGGCTTTAAATGTAATTTGTCAAAATGATTTGGTAAATACATATGCAGCCAAGTCAGACTGATAATTAGTAATAAAAGTATAACTAAATCAGAATGCTCGGGAAAGCCGGTAATAAAAAAAAAATATATTCAGCAAAGATGTTTCTAAAACTTTAGTGTGAACTTGCTTATGTGCAAAGACATTTGCAGACCAAACATTTAAGGAAAGAGTTTCAGAAATTTACCCCAGTAGGAAAACATCTGTGTGGATGTGCTATCATTAAAACAGTCCCATTCTATCTGTCACTGGTGTGGCAGGAGTCCTGGTGTGGTGCTGTAGGATAAGCACTGGACCACAACGTAGGTTTGAGCCTCAAGGCTGGCTGTTCAAACCTACCAAGCCATTCCTTCGAAACAGTATACAAGGTTGCTGTGAGTCGGAAGTAACTCAACAGCACTTAACAACAATCTATCACTGCAGAGAGAACACTGCAGTTTTAGAAAAATACACGAAATAATGTTATCATCTCATCCTAGGTTAAAAAGCAATTTGCTCAGGTTGGCCCTCTAAAAAAGGTAAAAGGAGCCATGGTAGTGTAGTGGATTATAAACTGAACAAAAAAAACAGTATTTCAAATCTACCAGTCACTTTGTGGTAGAAAGATGAGGCTTTCTGCTCCCATAAAGATTTACAGAGTCAGAAACCCTATACAGGGTCATTATGAGTAGGAACCGACTTGAAGGCACACAACCCCCACCATCACAGCACTATGAAGAGAGTCTACTAAAAGTATAAATTCACTGATATGAAAACAAAATTATGCTGAAGTAAGACCTAAAGTATGGAAGTGGCACCATGAAAGGAGTTTTCATGGATAATAGAAGTCTAAGAAGGTAAAATCTGTTTTCCTCAAACAACAACTAAAAACTCACAAATCACCCCCTAACTTACCTGTAATGATACCACTAGCCAACCCAGGAATGCCCTGGATTGAAGTGACATTATTGTGAACAAAGTATTCATCGCAGGTGGCATTGAAAAACTGGCTTGAGTTACAGAAGAAGCCCCATAACTTTGATGGGACTGTCATGTTGTTCATCTCCTTGGTCTTAGAGCAAACGTCAATATGTCTTGATGAAAGAGTGCGGTTACCAAGCATACATACCCTAAGTGAAAACAAATGGAGAAATATCAAGCTAGGAAAGGAAAATATTTTTTAAATACATTATAGGAGAAAGTGATTAGTAAAGGAAAACAAAAACAATCTCTAATAGTTTCTTCTGCCATGGTGAGAAAGGAACTAGTATTTATTGACTGACCAACACTGAGTGGTAATTAACAGAATCATCATAGCAACCTTACAAATTATGTACTAATATTTCTATTTAGTAGATGGAGAAAGAGAATCTTTGGATGATAGTTTGTCTAAGATTAGACAGATGGTAGATGGCAGGGAGAAAATTCAAATGAAGACTTTCTGAAGTCACTAAGTTGTCTCATCTTCCAAAATGTCTAGGCTAATAACAAATAGTTGGGTTTTGCTCTTTCTACAGTTGGAAAGGAGCTCTGTTAGCGTAGTGGTTATGGATCAGTCTGCTAACCTCTAGGTCGGCAATTCTTAACTACCAGCCATTCCACAAGAGAAAGATGAGGCTTTCTGCTCCTGTAAAGATTTACAGCCTCGGAAGCCCTGTACAGGGTTGATATGAGTCGGAACCAACTCCATAGTACTTAACAACAACAACAATATAACAGTTGGGGGAAAAAATACCCCATTTTTCTTGGCAAAGAAAAGCTTTACATTCATAACCACCAGCTGAACTGAGTTCAGATTCATATATCTCTTGGGTTTTCATGGCTGTGAGCTTTTTTGGAAGCAGACTGCTAGGTCTTCTTTTGAGGAGCCATCTGGGTGGATTCACACTGGCAACCTTGTAACTGGTAGTTGAGTGGCCATGTGTGCTACCCACACACTTCTTCACATGTCTGACCTTTTGTAATCAAATTAAAAGTCAAACCTTTCTGGATACTACTGCAAGGATAGTAGCTTGGCTAGAAGGAAAATGACACCTGTTTAAGAACTAAGAGAAATCTAGTTTAAGAAAACGGTTTTTGAACAGTAATGAGGGGATTTAAGGATATTACAAATATTAACTACTGTTTATGCAGTTGAGTTGTGGTGTTGGAGAAGAATACGGAAAGTACAATGGTCTGCCAGAAGAATAAACAAATCCGTGTTAGAAGAAGTACAGCCAGAATGCTTCTTAGAAACCAGGATGGTGAGATTTCATCTCTCCTATTTGGGACATATTATCAGGAGGGACCAGCCTCTGGAGAAGAACTATATGCTTGGCAAAGTGGAGGGTCAGCGACAAACAGGAACATCCCCAGTGAAATGGAATGACATGGTGGCAGCAATGATGGGCTCAAGGGCAACAACTGTGAGGATGGCGCAGGACCAGGCATTGCTTTGCTCTGTTGTGCACAGGGTTGTTTTGAGTCAGTTCCTACTTCATGGCACCTAACAACTACTGTTCTTTATTTCCTTAACCCAGAGATATAAATAAATACTATCAAAAGGATACATACATCAACTTAAAATACCTCTTAGGTGGCACAATATAACTTTTTAAATCTGCAAAATGATAGCAGTGATGATGGATGCTTTCAAGGATGGAAGAATAACGGTAATATGAGCCACAGACCTCCAACCACTCTCAACATTTTCTAGTCTTGTCTCAGTATTCCTCTAGATTTTTATATGTTATTTTCCTAGAGTATTTTAAAGAAAATATCATGCACAATAGCCTTTAGACAAATGCACACAGAGAGCAGCAAGTGGAGAAATAGCAAAGGAGAACTTGAGGCAAAATGAAATTTCCCAAGTTGAGACCTGGCCCGAATGTCGCCTTGTACATTTATGAGTTTTAAAAAGATCTTTAGATAATTTGCAAACCCCAAAGAGGTAAGCAAACTAAAACATTTATGATGGGCTCTATTACTGACATCACATGGCACAGCGCAGGAGAAACAATGGGCAATGGACTGGGAATCAGGAAATCACCGAACTCATGTTCTTACTCTGATACCATTAATTAAAATGGGGCAATGTTATTTACAAACAGGGACCTGTGTGTTTTCCTCTTTAAAAATTATGCTTTTCTATAGTCTGGTTACGTAGTGGTTACAAGTCGGGCTGCGAACCTCAAGGTTAGCAGTTTGAAACTACCAGTTGTTCCGCGGGAGAAAGGTGAGGCAGCGTTCTGCTCCCATAAAGATTTATAGCCTCAGAAACCCTGTACAGGGTCACTATGAGTCGGAACCGACTCCACGGCACATAACAACAACATAGTCTGGTTAGATTAATTAATCTGGTCCCTAAATGTTCCAGATGACTTTCAAAACCAATCTCTGTTCCAAGATTACAAATAACTTCAGTTCTACGCCACTAGGTATAGGAGAACAGGTGAGCATGTGAGTCAGAGATCTGTATAAATCCATTACTATTTCAAAAACATACTTCAAGATACATGCACTACTTAGGGTATATAATATTATTTATAAAGAAAGACACATACATATGACATTTGCTATCCTTTATTTTATGACTATAAAGTCTATTATGGCACTCATTCACTCATTGCCATCGAGTCAAATCTAACTCATACGGTTTCTGAGGCTGTAAATCTTTGTTGTTGTTCTTGGGTACCACTGAGTGGGTTCAGGCTCATAGCGAACCTTTGCACAACAGAATGAAACACTACCTGGTACTATGTTGCCTCTGTGTTTACTTTACCAAGCATGATGTCCTTCTCTAGATACTGGTCCCTCCTGATAATATATCAAAGTATGAGAGACGAGTCTCACCATCCAGGCTTTTAAGGAGAATTCTGGCTGTACAGATTAGCTTGCTTTTCTGGCAGTCCATGGTACTTTTAATATTCTTCTTCAACACCAGTTTTCTATGGGCTTCCTTATTCATTTGTTCAACTTTCAAATGCATATGAGGGTACTGAAAATATCATAGCTTGGGTCAGGGGCACCTTAGGCCTCAAACTGACATCTTTGCTCTTAAACACTCTGAAGAGGTCTTGTGTAGCAGCTCTGCCTAAAGCAATGTGTTGTTTGATTTCTTGAGTGCTGCTTCCAAGAGTGTTAACAGTGGATCCAAGAAATATGAAGTCTTTGCCGACTTCAATCTTTCCTCCATCTAACATGATGTTATCTATTGGCCTAGCTCTGAGGATTTTTATTTTCTTTACAGTTGGGTGCAATCCATACTGAAGGCTGATGTCTTTGATCATTATCAGTGAGTATTTTAAGTCTTTTTTGCTTTCAGCAAGCAAGACTGTATTATCTGCATGTTGCAAGTTGTTAACGAGTCTTCCTCTAATACTAGTGTCATGGTCTTCCACATACAATCTGGATTACCGGATTATTTGCTCATCATACAAACCGAATACGTATGGTGAAAGCATACAACCCTGGCACACACCTTTTCTGACTTAATGTCCCCTTGTTCTGTTAGAACAATTACCTCTTGGTCTATGTACAGGTTGCTCAATAATACAATTACATGTTCTGGAATACCCATTCTTGGCAATGTTAGCCATAGCTCGTCATTATCCACACAAAATCCTTTATGAAGTCAATAAAAAGTGCAGGTAAGTATCTTTCTGGTATTCTATGCTTTCAACGAAGATCCATCTTACATCTGCAGTGATATCCTGCATTCCACGTCTCTGCTGGAACCAGCTTGAAGTTCTGGCCATTTCCTGTCAATGTACTGTTACAGTCGTTTTTGAATTATCTTTAGCAAAACTTTACTTGCATGTGATAATAATGATATTGTCTGATGAGTTCTGCATCATGTTGGAATGGGCACACATATCTTCCAATCAGTTGGCCAGGTAGCTGTCTTCCAAATGTGTTGCTACAGATGAGTGAGTGCCTCCAGTCATTAGTTTGTTGAAAGATTTCTATTTGTATTTCATCAATTCCTAGAGCCTTGTTCTTTGCCAATACCTTCAGTGCACCTTGGACTTCTTCCTTAAGTACTACTGGCTCTTGATCCTATGCTGCCTATTGGAATGGATGAACAGCAACCATTTCTTTTTGTTACAGTGGCACTGTGTGTTCCTTCCATCTTTGTTTGATGTTATCTGCAGCATTCAATATTTTGCCCATAGAATCCTTCACTATTTCAAATCAAGACATGATTTTTTCCTTCAGTTCTTTCAGCTTGAGAAATGCTATGTGTTCTTCCCTTTTGGTTTTCTAACTCCAGGTCTTGGCACTCTGTCTTCTTGAGCTGCTCTTTGACATTTTCTGTTCAGCTCTTTTACCTCCTTTCTTCCTTTGCCTTTAGCACATCTACACTAGAAAACAAGTTTCAGGGTCTCTTCTGACACCCAGTTTGTTCTTTTTCGTCTTCTTAGTGACCTTTTGCTGTCTTCCAGTATGGTGTTATTAATGTCACCTTACAACCCTTCTGGTCTTCAGTCTTTAGTGTCTAAATGCTTCAAAGCTGTGCTTCAGATGATGTCTAAATTGAGGTGGAATATGTTCAAGGTCACAGTTTGGCTCTTGTGGACTTGTTTTAATTTTCTTCAGCATTAGCTTGAACTTGCATATTGACAATTGATGGTTTGTTCCACAATCTGCCCTTGACTTCATTTTGGCTGATGATATAGAGCTCTTCCACTCTCTCTTCCCACAGATGTAGTCAATTTGATTTCTGTGTATTCCAGCTGATGAGGTCCATAATTGTCTTTTAAGTTGTTTCAAAAAGGAGTTTGTGAAGCAGAGACGGTAAGTGCTGGCTAGGATGTGGAGAGACTGGGACCCTCACACTGCTGGTGGGAATGCAAAATAGTCCAACCACTCTGGAAAAATGTATGGTACCTCCTCAGAAAGTTGGAAATAAAAACACATTATGATCCAGCAATTCCTCTACTTGGTATATATATCCACAAGAAATATGAGCCATAACTTGAGTAGATATATGTACACACCAATGTTCATAGCAGCTCTATTCACAATAGCAAAAAGATGGAGACATCTTAAGTGCCCATCAATGGAAGAATGGATAAACAAACTTTGGTACATACACACAATGGAATATTATGCTATCTTGATGAATAACAAGGAAGCTGCAAGCCACCGC